CCCCTGTGCTACAGCCTGAATGTGTCGCCCCCCACCCAGTACAGCGCCTCGTGGCCCCTCAGGGAGTTCCACCCACTGCTACCGCCCGCATGCGTCCCCCCCACCCAGTACAGCGTTACGTGGCCCATACGGACTTCCACCGAAGGTCCCAGTTTCACCGACCGCATGCGTCCCCCCCACCCAGTACAGCGCTGCGTGGCCCCATAGGGAACTCCACCGAGACCCCAGAAGGACCACCCGCATGCGCCCCCCTCCACCCAGTACAGCGCTTCGTGGCCCCAGAGGGAGCTCCACCGACGGCCCCTGTGTTACCGCCCGCATGCGTCCCCTCCCACCCAGTACAGCGCTTCGTGGCCCCGTGGGGAACTCCACCAAAGTCTCAGCGCCACCGCCCGCATGCGCCCCCCCCACGCACTACATCGCTTCGGGGCCCCATACGTGGCTCCACCGACGGCCTCAGTGCTACCGCCCGCATGCGTCCCCCCCACCCAGTACAGCGCTTCGTGGCCCCATACAGAGCTACACCAAAGGTCCCAGTGCTACCGCCCGCACGCGCCCCCCCCACCCAGTACAGCGCTTCATGGCCCCATAGGGAGCTCCACCGAAAGCCCCGGTGCTACCGCCCGCATGCGTCCCCTCTACCCAGTACAGCGCTTCGTGGCCCCATAGGGAGCTCCACCGACGGCCCCAGTGCTACCGCTCGCATGCGTTCCCCCTTACCCTGTGCAGCGCTTCGTGGCCCCATAGGGAGCTCCACCGAAAAAGATATTCACAATTGCGGCATTCACATTTGCATATGGTTGGGTCCTTCGCCAGGATATGTTTTCTTCCTCTGGCGGCACTCGCTGCGCCGTAGGACCGTCGAGGAACGACTCGGGAGGAAAAGCCGGTCTTGGAAATGGGTCGAGGCCTCTGGGGTTCGATGTTGGGAAAATCCAGAGGGATAAGTAGACACAGATACAGATAGTCGTCGATCACCTGGAAAAGATGGGGACGTATGGGAAGCAGGGGCGAAGACAAGCATGGAGAGAGTATTGACCATCGAGGGAAGCCTGGGAGTCGTGACTATCTCTTTGTGTGTCCCTGCCCCCCCCCCAAAAAAAGGCACGACGTCGGGGGTCGGGGAACGGGTCCTGGACCCCGGGGCCCGGGGCCAGCTCTTCCTTCCGGGCGGTTCCTGCGGACCGCCCTGGGGCCCGGGGATCGGCACGAACGGCATGGGTGCGGAATGAATGGGCACACTGCCCAACAGCAGCGCCTGCTCATCTCGAACCGGCTTCGCTGTCCGCGCTGCCGCGGCCCGTGTCCATCTGAGACCATCGGCGAGACAAGCGGCCGCGGTTGGTTTGGGGCAACTTTTGTTGTTGGGCATTCTACCCATTTCTTCCGTGCCCACTTCGGGCGTCCAAGAGGGAGGGCCCCAGGAAGGAATGGGTTCGAAGTGTATTGCCCGACGCAATCCGACTGGCAGGGGACAGTTTCCGACTTCAAGATGCAGTGAGTGACGCCTCCACATGGCGCCGAAGAGTGCGCCATGCATGTTTGCATAATTGATCTGCCGGTATGCACGCCCATGGGCTGCCACAGCCTACGGCACGAGCGAGCGAGCGAAGAGGGAGGGCCCTGGGGGCCGACGACGGCGCGGAAGCCCTCCCCAGACAGGATCGCGTCGTAGAAGCACAGCACGACGGGCGCTTTTCTTGGCCTCGGGGCCGTCGAAATTATCCTGGCGAAGGACCCAACCATATGCAATTGTGAGTACCGCAATTGTGAATATCTTCTTCGGTGGAGCCCCCTACGGGGCCACGGAACGTACGAGGGGTGTGCCGAAATGGGTGTGCGGGACGCATGCGGGCGGCAGCACTGGGGCCTTCGGTGGAGCTCCCTATGGGACCACAAAACGTGCGAGGGGTCACGAAACGCGTGAGGGGTGTGCCGAAATGAGTGTGCGGGACGCATGCGGGCACACCCACTGGGGCCTTCGGCGGAGCTCCCTCTGGGGCCACGAAACGTGCGAAGGGTATGCCGAAATGGGTGTGCGGGACGCATGCGGGCGGCAGCACTGGGACCTTCGGTGAAGCCCCTCTACGGGGCCACGAAACGTGCGAGGGGTGTGCCGAAATGGGTGTGCGGGACGCATGCGGGCACACCCATTGGGGCCTTCGGTGGAGCTCCCTGTGGGACCACGAAACGTGTGAGGGGTCACGAAACGCATGAGGGGTGTGCAGAAATGGATGTGCGGGACGCATGCGGGCACACCCACTGGGGCCTTCGGTGGAGCCCCCTTATGGGGCCACGAAACGTGTGAAGGGTATGCCGAAATGGGTGTGCGGGACGCATTCCCTATGGGGCCACGAAACGCGTGAGGGGTGTGCCGAAATTGGTGTGCGGGACGCATGCGGACGGCAGCACTCTGGGGCCTTCGGTGGAGCTCCCTATGGGGCCACGAAACGTGTGAGGGGTGTGCCGAAATGAATGTGCGGGACGCATGCGGGCGGCAGCACTGAGGCCTTCGGCGGAGCTCCCTTTGGGGCCACGAAACGTGTGAGGGTGTGCCGAATTGGGTGTGCGGGACGCATGCGGGCGGCAGCACTGGGGCCTTTGGCGGAGCTCCCTACGGGGCCACGAAACGTGCGAGGGGTGTGCCCAATTGGGTGTGGGTGACGCACGCGGGCGGCAGCACTGGGGCCTTCGGCGGAGCTCCTTATGGGGCCACGAAACGTGTAAGGGGTGTGCCGAAATGGATGTGCGGAACGCATGCGGGCGGCAGCACTGGGGCCTTCGGCGGAGCTCCTTATGGGGCCACGAAACGTGTGAGGGGTGTGCCGAATTGAGTGTGGGTGACGCATGCGGGCGGCAGCACTGGGGCCTTCGGCGGAGCTCCCTATGGGGCCACGAAACGTGTGAAGGGTGTGCCGAATTGGGTGTGGGTGACGCAAGCGGGCGGCAGCACTGGGTCCTTCGGCGGAGCTCCCTATGGGGCCCAGAAAGCGTGTGAGGGTGTGGCCGAATTGGGCCGATTGGGGTGGGCGTGACGCAATGCGGGCGCAGCACTGGGGACTTCGCGAGCTCCTTATAATAAACGGACAAACGTGTAGGGGTGGTGCCGTAATGGGTGTGCGTGAAACGCATGCGTGCGGGCAGCACTGGGGCCTTCGGCGGAGCTCCAATGGGGCCACGAAACGTGTGAGGGGTGTGCCGAATTGTGTGTGGGTGACGCATGCGGGCGGCAACACTGGGGCCTCCGGCGGAGCTCCTATGGGGCCACGAAACGTGTGAGGAGTGTACCGAATTGGGTGTGGGTGACGCATGCGGGCGGCAGCACTGGGGCCTTCGGCGGAGCTCCCTATGGGGCCACGAAACGTGTGAGGGGTGTGCCGAGATGGGTGTGGGTGACGCATGCGGGCGGCAGCACGGGGGCCTTCGGCGGAGCTCGTATGGGGCCACGAAACGTGTGAGGGGTGTGCCGAATTGGGTGTGGGTGACGCATGCGGGCGGCAGCACTGGGGCCTTCGGCGGAGCTCCAATGGGGCCACGAAACGTGTGAGGGGTGTGCCGAATTGGGTGTGGGTGACGCATGCGGGCGGCAGCACTGGGGCCTTCGGTGGAGCTCCCTATGGGGCCACGAAACGTGTGAGGGGTGTGTCGAATTGGGTGTGGCTGACGCATGCGGGCGGCAGCACTGGGGCCTTCGGTGTAGCTCCCTATGGGGCCACGAAACGTGTGAGGGGTGTGCCGAATTGGGTGTGGTTGACGCATGCGGGCGGCGGCAATGGGGCTTTTCGGCGGAGCTCCTATGTGGCCACAAACGTGGGTGAGGTGTGGCCGATTGGATGTGGGTGAACGCCTGCGGCGGCCTCACTGGGGCCCTTCGGCGAGCTCCTATGGGGCCCACGAAGCGTGTGAGGGGTGTGCCGAATTGGTGTGGGTGACGCATGAGGGCGGCAGCACTGGGGCCTTCGGCGGAGCTCCTATGGGGCCACGAAACGTGTGAGGGGTGTGCCGAATTGGGTGTGGGTGACGCATGCGGGCGGCAGCACTGGGGCCTTCGGCGGAGCTCCTATGGGGCCACGAAACGTGTGAGGGGCGTGCCGAATTGGGTGTGGGTGACGCATGCGGGCGGCAGCACTGAGGCCTTCGGCGGAGCTCCTATGGGGCTACGAAACGCTGTACTGGGTGGGTGAAACGCAGGGAAGAGGGGGAGGAGGGAGGAGGAGGAGGAGGAGGAGGAGGAGGAGGAGAGGAGGAGGAGGAGAGGAGACGCGGGCCACCGTCTTTTCAAAACGAGGACCCAACACCACAGGATGGTTGGGCAAAAAGAGACTCGGGATGAGAAACCGGTCTCCCAGGGAAGGGGTCAAGATTTCTGGGGGGTCTGCGCTGGGAAAGAAGCAGGACGCCGCATGTCTGGGTCTGGACCCGCTTCAGTCGGGACACCTCTCCTCACGGCTGGCTGCACCCCGCCAGCGCGCCAGACGAAAAGTCGTGCGCGCGCGCCGCGCTGGCACCCCGGTAGCACGCGCCTGGCGCGGGCCCCCGGAGCGGTCACGACGACAAGGTTCGAGGCTGGAGTTTTCTGGGCGCTCTCGAGCCCCATTGGTCCTCGGGATGCATTGGTGACGTTGGATCTCAGGGAGGAGGAGGAGGAGGAGGAGGAGGAGGAGGAGGAAAGGAGGGAGGAGGAGCAGGAGGGAGGAGTGAGGAGGAGAGGAGGAGGAGGGGAAAGGAGGGAGGATGAGGAGGAGGAGGGGAAAGGAGGAGAGGAGGAGGAGGAGGAGGAGGAAGGAGGAAGGAGGAGGAGGGTAAGGAGGGATGGGAGGAGGAGGAGGAGGAGGAGGAGGAGAGGGGAGGAAGGAGAGGAGTTTGGACGAAGGGAAAGAGAGGGAGGTTGGAGGAGGGGAAAGAGGAGGAGGAGGAGGAAGATCAGATCGTCGGAGATCTGAGCCTCGTCGGGGCACGTCGGCCGCGCGCCCGCGCGCGGGAAGCCGCCGCCGCTGCAGGCGCCGAGCCCGAGCGCCGGCAGCGGGCTCGCGGAGTCGCCCGCCCGGAGCCCCGCGGGGCTGCCGGAGCAGGCCGGCGGGCGGCCGGGCGGGGAGGTCCTCGTCCCTTCTCCTCCTCCTCGTCCTCGTCCTCCTCGTCCCTTCTCCTCCTCGTCCTCCTCGTCTCCTCGTCCTCAGAGAGTATCTAAACCATATAGAGCAAGGGCTTGCGCCCAAGTGCTCAAGTAAGGCTGACCACCAAGGGCAGCTACTGAAGGCACAGCTTTGATGGTTTTTCTTTCAGAACTTGCATCCGCAATGGGTTCATACTCATACTCGTCCTCCTCGTCCTTCGCGTTCCTTCTCCCCCTCCTCTTCGCCCTCCTTTTCTCCCCTTCGGGGGGCGGCGCGAGAGCGCGAGGTTGTTCGCGCTTCGCGGAGCGTGAAGCGCGAAGTTGGGAGTCCCAGGACACGGGGACTCCCCAGAGATCCAACGCGTTGAAAAAATCAGGGCGGAGGTGTTTCTAAAATTTCGGCCCCCAGGGGCCCTCGCCGGGCCTCGGGAGCGTCAAGAAACGATTCAGGTTCCGGGGAATGGGTCGAGACTTCGGGGGACCCCGTGTTGAAAAATCACGACGTCGGATCTCTGGGGGTCAAGAAAAAATCCCGACGGCAGGCTTTTGCCTATTTTCGGCCTGTGAGGGTCCTTGCCGGGCCTTCAGACCGTCGAAAAACAGCTCGGGATGAAACGCTGGTCTCGACGGACGGCGTTGCGCTATTTCTGGCTTCTGGGGGCCCTTTCCAGCCCCAGGGACCGTCACAGAAGCATGAAGTCGAGCCCGGGGTCTGGGAACCGAGAGATCCGATGTCGTGTTTTTTTCCATACGGGCCCCCCTAAAAGTCTCGACCCATTTCCTGGGACCAGTTTTTCATCCTGAGTCGTTTTTTGACGGATTCTGGTCACAGCGCGAGGGGGTCGGGCTGGGGATTTGGAATCACCACGCGGTTTCGGGGCCTCGCGTCGATCTCGTGCCTCGGGCGACTGCGGCCCGCCGAGGTGCCAAGAGACGCTGCGGTGCTGGACCGCGGGGTGGGGTCGACGGGGACTCCGAGGTCACCACGTGGCCCGTCACCACACGTAGGTCGGGCATGTCCTTACAGGCGGATTTTGGAGCAAGAATAGAGAATAGTCACAAAATGTTGAGAAACAGCCAAAAATATTCGAAAAATCGGAAAGCGCGCCAGCGGATGGCCCTGAATACACTCAAGGGGGGGGTGCTCGCAGAACCCTCCCCCCCCTTCCCACCTTCAAAGGGGGGGGAGATTTTTGACCCCGCCCCCTCCCCCCCTCCCCCCCTTGGCGCTGGAAAGGGGGAGGGGGGTCGACC